ACTCCAGGATCAGAAGTCTTTGTTGTGAGGACGCGCCCAACAAACTTTTCCGGAATCCACAACCTTTAATCGCAACAAGAACCTCGGGAGACATTCCATGATGATATTGTATAAGAAACACGCATCAACCACAAACTTTAAACCCGTCATCTTGGACTAACTTAAAACACTGGAAAAAACACAGAGCAAACGGCCAAAGTCTGTGCATTTGGGGGTGTGCTCTCCCGGGGATGTCAGTGGACACCGAATTCAAACAGTACGTACACGCCCCACAGATTTGGTATTCTTGCCAATGCCATTCGCCATTATCCTTAGTAGCAATACTACAACTGCCAATATTTCGTATTATTTGTAGTATTTGTAGCAATCCTGCGAATAACACTAATACTTGTAAGTCATAGTAGTTGTTGTTGTAGCTGTACCAGTAGTGGTAGACGTAGAGAAGGCAGTAGCAACAGCACCAGCCATAGCCGTAGTAGGAATAGTAGTAGGCGCCCCCTGCCTAGGCACTACGTTTTGCGCAACTTTACAATAAGGACGACAGGTTGGTGTAAGGGGAGGGGTGGGGGAGTAGTTCCATGAAAACAGACCGCTTTCGGAAACCAACATGAAAAGATGCAAGTTCGAGATTTCGAGCTGCTACGTGGCTGTACTCATCAACAACGTGCGAAGATTCAAATACACGTAAGGCCTTTACAAAATGGCGCCTTTAACAAGTTGTTGATAGGTCGGGGCAGGACCCAATACACTAACATTACCTGCAGCCGCCTCGTCGGGGTATTCATACTTAGTCTTAAGTAACATATAGTGTCTAGGTAGTGAAGGGAGGAGGGGGGTGGTAGTAATAGTAATAGTAATAGTGGTAATGGTAGTGGTCGTAATAGCAATAGCAATGGTCCGCCGGACCGTAAACGCGCGCCGATTCATTGGTGCGCAAAGCTAAAGTACAGAATCCACTGCAAAACGCCGTATTTTTGCAAGCACGCACCTATGAGCTGTCCCAAAAATACTTGTCAACAAAATCAGAAAATTTACACGTGCCTCTGCAAACAGGAATTTCAGATTTGATGGTTTTTTCTTGATGAAGCCTTGCATCCAGGGGGTTGTATATTCTAGGGTTGGAGATGAAAGGCTTGCGGAGGCTGAGTCTTCAAATTCTGGAGTTAACGAGCTTGCCCGGGGCCTCATGGTTCTGACTTGCAACTCGGAAAACCCGTAAGCGCTAGCAACGCAACTAAACCCGGAACGCAACTTGGAACAAAACCGTGATTATGGTTTGGGCATGGATGCTCTGGTGACCGTATGCTCTGGGAACACAAACGTGATTATGGTTTGCGTATGGATGCTCTGGATAGCAAATGCGCGCGGAACACGAACGTACTTATGGTTTGGGCATGGATGCTCTGGTGACCCTATGCTCTGTGAACACGAAGGTTATTATGGTTTGTGCATGAATGCTCTGGTGAGCGCACGCACTCGAAACGCGAACGTTATTATGCTTTGGGCATGGATGCTCTGGTTATCGGATGCACTCGGAAGATGAACGTTATTATGGTTTGGGCATGGATGCTCTGGTTATCCTACGCACTCAAATGATGCGTGGTACACGCAGTATTTCGGACCCTCGAAACACTTTGAATGCGTGGTTCGTGCTACGCAGGCCACATCTCGAGAGGTCTCCGGCGGAGCCAATAGCAATGGCAACAGCAATAGTATAAGTAAAGTAGTAGTCATAGTGATAGTCATAGTAATAGTCACAATAGTAGTAATAGTAATAGCAGTACTACTAGAGCAGCAGCAGTAGCAGTAGCAGTAGCAGCAGCAGGAGTAGCAGCAGCGGCGGCAACATTGGTAGTAATAATAATGTTTACCGTTATGCTTCTTACTAGCATTGTTCTTACTCGTATTGACAACTCCGGAAGGCGGTTCGATCAGAGACGAACTACAAAGGCTTCATGCACTGCGAAATGCACTCGTCTGAAGATGGTATCGAGGCTTGAGCTGGCTTCGTGATGCAGCAGGGGGAACCTCAAGAGTGGAGCCTTTCGGCAGCGGGACTTTATCTGAGGCACCGACACCCACACACACTTCTGGTCGACATAATCTCGCAAGCAGCCGATACCTAAGTTGGACCAGCAACTACCAAGATATCTCCTACAGAGGGATTGTTGACTCTGAATTCTGAGCCTATGAGGTTATGGGCTGGAGCTCAACAAAATTTGGCAACAACGGATATCTAGCGAAAACACTTCAAAAGAATCAGCAGACCCGACTGAAACCTAGTCAACCGAGGGTTCTCAAATGCGAGTAGCGGACCCGGTTGGCCCCAAGCAGAAATGGAGGTTGTACGGAGTCTAGGTGGGTCCCTCTTACAGAAAAAGATGATGATGGATAATTGCTGAATTTGACGAACTCCCATATGGTTAAAACCCATCCCAGGGCTGCCTCTACTCTTCTCATAATGCACCTCTAAGACTAAATGCCCACCAAAAATGCCACGACTTTTTCTGAGGAATATTTGTCATTAGGGAGATGTACTTTTGGGGGGATAAATGCGGATCCTCGCAAAGGGCCCCTAAGTGGGATGGCCCCTCTATCGCAGCGCTCTGCAGTGAAACCAAAAATGAAACCTTCGATGGTAGTCGTCGTTCAACTAAAGAGGAAGTCCCCACACTTCCTACAGTCCTTTGGCAGCCTCAAGTGGTCTGCATGCCACCCCAAACCCTGCGCATCTTTGTGAACTTCCCCTGAAACTGAGCACACCCCTGGAGGGGACTCCCCAAGGAGAAATCCGCATTCCGTCGCGAAGCCTGGGGCCCGCGCATGTGTCCTGTGCTGCTCGGATCTTCCGAGCATGTTGGCACGTCGGCTGAATTTGCAAGGCCTATATAGGGATCGTATGGGGTTGGGTTAGGAGTTGATAAGGATGGAAGGGCGTCGGCTGTAGGGTGTTAGACACTCTCTCTCTCGCTCTCTCTTGTGCATACTCAATCCAATACCTAAACATGAATTAGTAGAAGTGACGCGAGGAGTTATGGAACAGTTGCATAAGCTCGATGCGCCGAGGCATTTCTATCCACTTTCAGTACACAAGCCGCCAGATATATTAGCAAGAGTTTAAGTAAGGGCTTCGGGATGCGTGAAAGGTCCCGAATGCTTTTTGTTGCACATCCGTTGCTGCCACCTCTTGCATATCCATTGCTTAAAGACTGCAAAAGCAGCTTGAGCAACAAGAAAAAGGGTCGAAGAGGCAGGTTGACCCTAGCAATACAGGGATGGCTGGCGCGTCGTCCCTACAGAGAAGTTACAGAGATTCCACGGTCAGTTTTCGCTCCGCAGAATTTGGTTTGATGGACTTTTAATGTCAGGAGTCCAGGCGCACACCTACATTAAAATTGCTGGCAGCCAAGCGCATGCCGCTCATGCTGCTCACATGATCCAGGACGAGCGGGCCGTAAGCATGAAACGAATGCTTGGGGTGCGTCTCTGTGAGCAGCAGAGGTGTGCGGCCAACGCAACTCACGAAACTGGGGAAAGAGAGTTGTCCTGCACATAGCCAAGGTGTGTTTCACCAGAAGTTTTGCTTGATTTTGACACCCCATCTCCCCAAATGCCAACAGCAACTTCGCTTGTGCCAAGAGGCCTACTAACAAGACATTGCGTCTTTGCTTATCCTAGGCTGATCTCAAAAGAATATGTGCCAAGTATTTACGAAAATGGTACGCTGGCTTCCAAACTAGAACATCCACCGCACTCGTGCCTTTGGCAGCTGTGCGGGCGACATGCTCGAACTACCCTCACAGACTTCCTAGGGGTCCCGCGGAAAAGCACCCCGAACAAATTTGAATTAAAACTAGTAATACTTGTGGAAATGGAAATGTGTAGACGAGAAGTTCTAGCCATAGTAGTACTTTCAAGAACTTCTGTTTTTCTTGCAATACTTAGCAATACTAATTCAGCTAATATCACCCGTCATGCTAGTTTCCAGGAATACTGGTAAGAACACATATGAGCTACAGTCAATTTTCCCCAGAAAAGTGCTGGACAAGTGTTCCTTATTAGGGGGGACACTTATGAGAACCCCTTAATCGGGCTAATGTTGACAGTAGCTCTTATCAAGAATACGACACTACAGAAATATCAACAGCGCTTCTTATTCTATTGGAGTGGAGTCGAATAATTACTCGCGATGACAACAACTGCCCTAACATGAACAATGACGTTTAGTCATGGTCGCAACCATAACCCTAGGGCTTGACTCGGCCTAAAGTAGATATCATTAATAGACATCAGGACCCAGAGTAAGCACTACCGGGGAGCCCACCTAGGAGCCATGAAACTCTTCCGGTGCTGGCGAGGCGAAGGCTATACCCACCAACGTGAAGAAAAGCAAGCATTATAGGGTTAGGGTATATAGGGCATAATATAGGGTTATATAGGGATATATAGATAGGATTATGAAAAAAATGGAAACTACCACAATGGGATTATATGGTTTGTTGTCATCAAAATTATGGTTCTTTTTTGGATCCTTGTTGTAATACGACACCTAATATTTAGGGTACCCGAAAAGGGACCATAATTTTGACAACCACCCATATGAGGATAGAAAGAGGTAACGTACGGTTTAAGGTTTGGGGTTAGGGTATGGGGTCAATGTAGGGTTTAGGGCATGAGGGCGATTTAGGGACATTTCAGGCAGCATAGGGAATTGCAGGGATGTGTAGAGGTATACGGGATTTTTTCAGAGGTTTATCGGGATAGAAAAAGCTAGAAGAGGATACATTGGGTTCAGGGCTTAGGGCTCGGGATTGAAGGTTTAGCAGTTGAGGATGAACAATCAAGCCCATCAACCTTTCTAATGAGAGGGCTTACAAGACTTCGTTAATCGCCATTTAGAGATCACGGAGACGGTAGAACTAAACCTCGCAGTGAAAAGATGAATTGGAAGACCTGAAAAAGCTAGCTGTTGCCGAGCTTTTTGGAAAATATGGCTATGTTCACGCAGCCATTCCTGAGCTTTCCTCATGTGCGGCTCCAACCACAACTGGATTCATTCCGGGGAGCTTGTGCAAGATCTGCTTGTGTCCTCTTCCATACCATGCAAGAGAAAATCACCTTCCCTCCCCGACAACTACAAGCCAACACCAAATTAGGACAAAACTTCTGCTGGAAGCACAGCAAGAATCTACAGACTGGACACTGGATGGCGCTATCGTCCCAATGCTTGCTTGCGCCATGCAGCAACCAGCCGGCAATGCATGTAGAATGGAACCTGGACCCAGAGTGGCCAGTGGGCCGTTGGGCCATTGCGGCTTGACAGCAGAGGCATCATCTTTAGGAAGAAGCGCCCAAGACAGAACCCTGGACCCTCACAACCCGACCCGAAAAGATGACCGCAAAAAGCACAAGACAACTTGCAGCAGCAACTGCAGCTGACTGTACCCTACACCCTAAAATTCAATTATTGGGGAAGCCAAGGCACGCATGCTGGCATTCGAGCTGGCGAGCTGGATGCTCCGTGGTGACCACATCTAAGCAAACGGGGCAGGTCAGCTCCTTGTCCAGCTTGACTTCAGGCAGGTGTGCCTTAGTGGTCAGGTTTGGATATGTGTGAAAAATTTCTCAACTGGTGTGACATTTTCGAAGTTTCTTTAAAACAACACCCATTTTGCAAGCAAGTGAGCATCAATCGCTTCGAGCATGGCCGCCCTCTCTGCATCAGATCTCTGTGGGGTTTGGACCCTCGAAGGACGCAGATGCCCCTCGGGCGCTTGAGTGTTGTAATTTCCTGTACATGCTCGAATAGCTGCCATGACTAAAAACATCAACCACACCTTGGCTGCTTTCCGAGGGTTCATAAAGGGTTCTAGCTTCAGCAGCAATTTTTCAAGCGCCGGCCGTGGATTGTTCAGAAATTCAATGCGTGCACCCTCGCAAGGAAAAATGCTTCCAGTCTGACCATGACACCAGCCCGGTCGCAATGGCAAAGTACACGATGGGAACGGTCGGCATGGCATGGAGAGTGGAGTGCTTGTTACTTCCCGTCTGTCTGTCTGTCATTGCGCGATGCAGTTCTGATACTCTCAACATCCAAGAAAATTAAGTGGACAGGGTATGGGGTGAGCTCTCAATGCAAATGTTAATCCTAAAGCCCTTGTCATACATCCCAAGCACCTTCCGAGTCTCGATGCAGATTGTTGACTGGAACCAACCTTAGAGCTGAACCTTTGTCTATGGGATTTACTGGTGCTCCTCTGTTGTGACAACTCCCAAAATTGAGCGACAACCGCTGAAAAGAGAATCAACAGCAGCAAAATAAGCAAGACTTGCCAAAAATGAGCCTATAATCCCTTTCAAAACTCGATAAACTCGTAGATAGCTCGCCTCCTACCAAAAGCAAGAGACACAGAAATGCACCAGGTTGAGCGAGAGGCTTTGAGTTCGGGGTTTTCGTTGCAGCTGGCTCACCAGGGCTCAAAGGGAAAACCTCCGTGTTCGTTTAGATCTTACTACAGCGCTACGTGGGGGATGTTCCTTCCAGCAAATGTGGGTGCTCTAGCTCTAGACGTTGATCTAATGCAATGTGGAGCAGGTTATAACGGTATCTCACATGAGTTTGCTTTGTGATTCCCATACGCAACCCTTGGCCTCCGGAAAATCCCACATGGAGACCACAATGTACATTTTGCTTTCGTTCCTTCAGCCTCTACACTCCGAACCTCCAAGCTCAACTTCCGCACTCGAAGCTTCAAGCTCCGAGCCCCTGTCACCCATCCCATGTCCCAAGGGTACAATCTCAAAATCCTAAACCTTGCTCCAAACTCCAAGGCAGATGTCATTTTCCAAGACTCGTGCAGGTGATCTTCATAAAGCTCGCGGCGACTGGGTTCCAGCGAAGCCAATGCCAGACGCAGTGCTGCACTGAGACCTTCTTCTGAGTCTCGATTGTGAGCTTTTAAGCTTCGGAGCTTCTGGATGTGGATCTTTCTTGCTTGAGGGTTTTAGGTTTGGGGCTTGGGTCTCATAGAATTTAAAGCCTCAGCGTGGGAAAAATCAACAGCTCTCATTCTCCCTGGCTCGTGATCCCAACCCTGAAGTTTAGGTTCCCATTTTACCTGTTTTGTTCATCAACTGTTTATCTCCCCTCCATGCGCGGGTTTATATCTTTCACTGCAAGGTTTCGTTTGCAGGGGTAGCTTGGCGAATCTGGCTTCGCGTACACGAGTCGGAGGGTGGGCATTTGATTGCGGGCAACGTCCTGCCAAATCTATAACAGAAACGAAGCTATTCCTCATCTCTATGAATATCCCCCCTATGAAGTTCTTCGAGCAGAAACCTCACATCTTGTGTAAAAAGCGCAAGCAACAAACTTTGCGGGCGGGACGTCCATTAGGGGAAGGGATTCGCAATGGCAACAACACTATTCACACATATAGACGCTGCCCACAAAAAATGATGCGGAACTGATGCTGATGAAACCTGCTTCCCACTCCAACCACATCTAACCATTGCTCTAATCACACAGGCCTGCTTCCCCAGACGATTGCTGAGAGCTTTCCAAGATGGCACCAGCCAGGACAGCCACTACAGGAGGGCTGACGCTGTTCCCGAACATCTTGTACAATGCCCTGAACCACATGCCGGGCTCTTCCCCATTCCGTTCTGTCAGCTTGAAAGAATTCGGGAAGCCCATGAGACGCGCACACTCCCTAGGCGTGAATCGACGCGGCTTGAAAGGTGCGGGTCTAGGTACCAGCTGGGAATTGCCCTTTCGAATGGTTTTGCCATAGTGCCCGACCAACGTGTCGCATACCTTGTCGCCCCATGCCAACGTGCTGGTCATGCCACCACGACGTGCCCACTTAGAGGAATCCTGCAGGCGAAGAAACTGCTCATCACTCAGGGTGTAGTCCTCCAACAATCCACTGCTCCTTACCTCGGCCTCGGACTGGAGAACGTCCTCTGCTCGAATGCACATGTCGGGCAGCTCAGGAATCTGAAATGCCTCCGCACATTGCGACGGCCTTCTAAAGCCAATGAAGAAGACGCGCTTTCTTGCCTGCGCTGTGAAATGTTTCGCGTTGACGGTCTCCACCAACACGTCATAACCGGCTTCGGACAACTCTTCTTTGATTGTTTGCAACACCTTCCCTTCATCGCAACGCAACAAACCCGGGACGTTCTCCAATAGGAAGGAACATGGTTTGGCTGCATCCAAAACACGTACAATTTCGCGAAACAACAAGCCACGATCGTCATCAAATGCAGGCTGAGTTCCCAGAGACGAGAAAGGTTGGCACGGAAAACCGGCAACCAAGATATCATGCGGAGGAATGTCAGAAGCCTGCTTTACTGTTGGAAAGTCAAGTTAAGATGCCAAAGAAGAATATTGCAACAAACGATGTTGTTTCCTCATGCTGTTCATCAATGTCCCGTAACGTCCTCCACAACCCATTACGTGCTTGATTTTCCATTTGCTTCTCCAATATGGCAACTTAATTCAATTTTAGGAAACGTAAACCTCACTGCAAACCCTACCCAAAATCCTTCCTAACCCCTATAAGACACTTGTACAAGTATATACACATGTATATATATATATAAATTCAACATATTTTCCCTGACTGCAACCCAGTAGCATGAACTTCACAAATGTCACCAGCCACAGCTGGCTGGTTGCCAAAATTCGTCGTGTACAGTTTTCGGGTGAAAGGCTCGATTTCACAAGCAAACACGCAAGATCCACCAATGCTTTCCAACCCAATACGGAAACCACCGATGCCTGCAAACAACTCCGCGAACGTGAAGCTGCCGCCCTCACAACATCGGTCCAACAGACCATCACAAAATTTCCATGTTCGCCACATGCTCTATGTATAACTGACAAAGCGGAAGAAAGACTGACTAAACAAAATTCAGCAAAGATGCAGCGGGCAACTGCGGGATATCACCCACATCAGGTTGCAGCGGAGGTTTTGACAACTGTTTCCATGCTATCTCGTGGGTTGTCAATTCAACCACACCAGCTGCCAGCAAATCACGCGTCTCAGTGGGAAACCTGTGCGAACCAAACACAAACACACCTCCTCCCACCTTAATGATCGCAAACTAGAAAATGCAGAATGTTCCTTTGGAATGGCATGATGGAATTCAACAATGCTTGTAACTCATGGTCATTGGCAGATTCATCTCTGTGCATCTACCCTTTCTCGTATCATTATTATTATTTTTTTAAAAATCATTGCTGAGTCATTACCATTCCATTACACCATTGCCACGGTCAAAGTCATTATCATTAGCACTGTCCCTATCATTGCCGTTTTGATTGTCATTCATCCTTGTTATCGACAACGTGTCCGAAAAATAGTTAGCCAACAAACATGTGAAAGACCAACAACTTGAGGAGACCCATGCTCTTTGATTTTCAAGGTTTACATACACATGCATTGAAACGGGGCCCGACCTGCCCGGGGCGTCTGCCAGCAGCGGTATCAATCGTCTCTGGGAATCTTCGGCGATCTGGATGGGTATGCCATAACGGCCTTCGCGATGCCAGCGTCTCGGAATGCAACCACCATCAGCCAGCTGCCCATAAACTTGTTCAACAAGCCGTGCCGGGACACGCAAGCTGGCACCACAGCACACCCGCCTCCCTCGCTGCCGGATGGAAGGGCCAAGCCAGCTTTGTTGGCCGATAAAAGGAACCAGCGCAAACAGCGAGAAGATGCGGGATTGTTTCATGGTTATGAAGTGCATGGAACCTAATTGCGCGCATTAACGTGCAGCAACAAGGATTGCAACTGTGTCTTTTGAACTGCAGATGGCCTATACAAGCATTGTCCAAGCGGCTGAATGCCATGTCTATTTGCGTACTGTTTGTGCGCATCCATCAAAAACATAATTACGTAATCATGTGCCTGTGCAGCTGGACAACCGACTACGCGACACGGCATTCAGAAGAAAAAGGTCATCAACGACCCTGGCATATTTCAGTCGAAACACAACATTGACAAATGATCCGTAATGGGGCATTACCATGCGCGGGATATTCCGTTGCCAAGAAATTCGCGTGCACGTCCTCCGCCAGCGCCTCCCAGTCTTCGCTGAAGCTTGGGTGATTGGCCGCACGGCTGGCACTCGTTTCCAAGGCCAGTCCCCCCCCCCCACGGGCACGGTGCGGGCTCTCATGGATAACCAAAGACATGCTCTATCCTGTTCGGAACAGCTTGGAGCAGTCGTCGACATTGCCCAAGCGGGTGCGTGTTCTGATGCACACAGTTGGAATGTCCTCGCAAATGCAGTTGCGCTACTCATACGTTCCCGCTACAAATGCCCCTTGGGGCACCCCAAATCCCCAATGAAACAACATTTGGCCACATGTTGTGATGTCGAGAGTCGAGTCCTGAAACGACCATGGGTCATGGTCACGTGTGACGTGACTCGCACCGGACCATGGTAACCCATCGACACTGCACATACCGACGGGCACATGTTTCACTGCATTGTTTGGTGCATTCGAAAATGCAAAATGCACAGCCTCACCCCACCCCCCAGGCCCCAGCAAGCAGTCACGTGCCGTTCTCTGGGCAGAAACATGGCAGAAACCATTCCGAGGCCCCCGAGCGATGCTGGGAACTTTTTTTTTGCGTCTGCAGCATGTGTCTTGGTCGGCGCCTCCCTACCGCAGCGGCAATCGGCTGGGTCCCGACGACTCGGCCAGGTTGAGAACCTGGTCCAGCTCGGGGCCATCCTCCTGGCTGGCGCAAGCCGGCACC